AAAGGCCACCAGACTACAACTCCCAGCAGCGCTAAAGGGTCGTTGCGAGGCACGCTGGGAGTACTGGCTCTACTCTGCGGAGGGACCCTGGAAGGCAGCTTGTGTAACAAGAGACCAGGGCCGATTTTTAAAGATTTGCGATATGGGGAATTCATATAAAAGGTTAAACCGAAGATTAGTGCTTTCCATACAGAGATAAGAAGTCTTCCGGAACACCGCGGGTACAGGTACGTTCGCGCGCTGATGTTACATCCCGCGCTGAAGGTTGGGGACTGAACGTCCCTCCTGCACGTGATCCCAGCGCCTCTTTGTTATTGGCTGCTTCGGGGGCGTGGCTCTCGGGTGCGGTCGTCCCGGATTGGTGTTTCGGGGCCGTGGGGTGGGACTCTGGCCGCTGCCGCGGGAGGTCCGGACACTGGCGGCCATGGGACTTGCCGGTAAGCGCGCGTCTGACCTCCTAGCGCCGGCACTCTTAGCCGTTTTCGGTGGGACCGGATTTTCCCCGTGGGAGTGTGGGCAGCCGTTAAGGGGGCGAAGCCGGCCAGGCTGGAGGTCAAAAGTCGGGGGTTGAGGGTCTCCGGTCCCGAGCGGGGCTGAGGATGCGCTGGGGCTGACGCGCTGGAGCGGACGCGCTGGAGCCGGCTCTGGCGGGGCTGAGGAGGGCGGGGTGAAGGGCTCCGGGATCCCGGCCTCAGACCCCTGCCCACTCTCTTTTTCCTCCTTTTGTGGCTGGCGAGACCCCGCCTGACCCCAGCGGAGTTGTTCCTTCCTTGGCACAGGCGCTCCCCAGTGTCCTCTCAATGAGTGAAGCCGAGGTAGTGCCTAGGGGTTGGATGGAAACTCTGTCCTCTTGACCCCAAGACCCCGCCAAGGCTCCTCGGGAACCTCTGTTGCTAACGACTGCCCAGAGACTCTTTAGACGTGGTCGAGAATTTTACGGCTGTCTCACATTTGGCACTTAAGTAGCTGGGACGAGGCGGAGATCTTGGACACATCGCTCAACTTGTCTGGCTTTTAACTTGTAGAAAGAAAGGTTTTCACTAGACCTTCCAGCCTCGCTATAGCTTGAAAATCTTAAGATTCCGTGATTGTGCCGTTTGTCGAGCTTGTCGAGCTTTTACGCCATAAAGACGTTAGGCATAGTAACCCGGTGGAAGTAGGCAGATCCCTCACAGAACTTTGCAGGTTGATGAAAAACTTTAAATGATTTCATTTGATGTTTTAGCCCATTGTTTTCGTTGTAATCTATCTTTTTAAATTGAATATCATTGGAAATTCGAGTTCAGGTGACAAACCAGTTAAGAAAATGTTAATGAAACCACTTAAAAGTACACAATTGAAGAATCTCAGTATTTGATAATATTGAATCTTAATTAGTAAATTCAGGTCAACAAACACTTATAGAGTATTTCTGAGAATATATTTAAAATATAGGTGAATTCGTTGGAGATAATAGTTAAGACTTTGTACCTGCAGTTACTTTTATTTTCTGAGTTTGCGAGTGAAATTGGAAACTCAGACCTTTAGGATGGCTTCCCATTGTATAGTTGAGTTTCTGGAGGCGTGGAAATCTCATTTGTAAAGCTGAGGAAGATTTTCAGTAGGTTTCCAAGACGCTCTAGCTTTAAAAGCCTAAGAATCTGTAATAGTACCGTATATCAAGGGGGACATTTTGCACTGATAAGGATCTAGGAGCCCCCTGAGATAAACATTTCCTACTTTAAATGTAGAAAGTGGCCCCAGATTCAGCCCATCTCTAGTTTAGTCTTTATCCTCAAGACTCCAAACTGAAGGGAGGGATGCTCATGGCGGAAAGGCCTACATAACTGAAAGAAAGATTAAGAAAATGAAGGGACCAGTTTGATTATCTCGGTCCTTGAATAAGTGAGGAGAAAATTGTGGATGTCTGCAGCATGTCCTGCCAGTGACTCTTAAAAAAAGCTGCTCTCCAAAAGACCCAAAAGACGGCTTTAGCTGCAGAAATATTTTAGTGTAAATCACAAAGTTAATACTAGCAGAAGTTCATGTGTTTCACTGAATCAGTGGCTAAACTCTCAAGTGGGGTTGGCATACTTTTTCTGTAAAGAGCCCTATTTGTAGATATTGGAATGAACTGGTTTGTTAGCATGGCAAATGATTATATACTGTGGTGTAACAAACTTATTTTTGAAAATTACGTGCAGCAGTCTTTTTAAAGCAAAATGAAGATATAAGGACATTGCAGAATGTAGTTTTGTTATATGGCACATAGTAAATGCTAAGCAAGTAAATGTCAAAAGAGTAAATTCACGATACGCTTTGCTTTATTTCTCAGGGCAAAGCCAACACATTTACATTAACATTAAAACAGTATTTATATCTGGATTTGAAATTTGGAATATATTTTGTCTCTGAGCTGAGATCCTTTTTTTCTCTTTTTCAGGTACTAGACGACACATATCTTAAGTGGGTCGCTCTAAGGACTAATGCCCAAACCATCTCAGCATGGCCTACCGAGGAGGAGGCGAGCACGGCCATCCTCACTCAGCTGCGCTCAATGTTAGCCCTGGAAGTCTTCCCACATGTCGAACCCACGCCCATTCGATATGCATGGTGTCGGACTTTTTCTACCCGAATATGGGAGGCGTGGAAAGCCACATTTACCAGCTCTCTCAGTGCCTGATTGAAAGAGGACACAAGGTCATAATTGTCACCCATGCTTACGGAAATCGAAAAGGCATCCGTTACCTCACTAATGGCCTCAAAGTCTATTACTTGCCTCTGAAAGTCATGTACAACCAATCTACAGCCACGACCCTATTTCACAGTCTGCCATTGCTCAGGTACATATTTGTTCGCGAGAGAGTCACGATAATCCACTCACATAGTTCCTTTTCTGCCATGGCCCACGATGCCCTCTTCCACGCCAAGACAATGGGGCTCCAGACAGTCTTCACGGACCATTCCCTTTTTGGATTTGCTGATGTCAGCTCGGTGCTTACAAACAAGCTTCTAACTGTGTCTCTTTGTGACACAAACCACATAATTTGTGTCTCTTACACTAGTAAGGAAAACACTGTGCTAAGAGCAGCACTGAATCCTGAAATAGTGTCCGTCATTCCTAATGCCGTAGACCCTACTGACTTCACTCCAGACCCATTTAGAAGGCATGATAGTATAATAACCATTGTTGTTGTCAGCAGACTTGTTTACAGAAAAGGTAATGAAATGATAGCTACAATTGCACTGCACAGGTTTTTCTGTTATAGAAATCTGTTGAATACTTGTATATAATGATTGTTTGGCTTTTTATTTTGTTTTATGGTTTTATGACTCCTGCTTTAAATATAGCAAAGAAAGGTTGAATATTGTTTTATACATCCAAAAAATTTTTGAAACGGTGAATGCTGCCCACCCTCCTCCAACCTTTGATGTTTTCATAGTTACTTAGAAAAAAAAAATAACTGGGTGCCGTTTAATAGATCAGAGCTTTTTAAAAGTAACAGTGCTGCACGTGCAGTAAGAAGCTCAGGGCTGAGCCCACCAATTTCTGATTGCAAAAGTAATGTCTTTACAGATATTTCGAAAACTAAGAAAAGCACAAAGGTGAAAACTAAAATCGGCTGTAATCGTACTCTTCAGGGATGACGGGAATGAATATTTTAATTTATAGCTTTCTTGTCTTTTTTTATGCAATGAGCTTGTAAAAGACGTTATTGTTTTTTAGCTTGCGTATTTCATTTAATCATAGATAAGCCTTTAGTGACATGCTGGCAGGTAAGTGATGAAAGAAAGATTACATGGCCCAACGTCCAGTCCCGACTCTGTTTCATTGTGTGATCGAGGACAAGCTATATAACATCTGAGTCTCAAATTTTTTCATTTGTGGAATTTGGGCCACAGTGGGAATCTTGTGAGAGTTCAGTGATGGTTTCTGTAAAGTGCTTAGCCCTGTTTGTACTCGATAAATGTTCACCGTTATCGAGGAGGATTTTATTAGTGCTTCTGCAGTAGAATTTGTAGAGCCTTATTTACTAAGTCCTAAACAGTCTGGTTATTCTAGACATAAATGGTCTTCTGGACGCTATTTGAAAACCTGTCCAGTAATCAAAATTAAAGTGAGGAATTATTAAAAAGGTAATATATAACCTCCCATTAGATATTTGAATTCAACCCAAAATATTATTAACGTGCGCTGAATTGCCAATAGTTTGACGTAGGCCTCCAGGCTCGAGCGTACTGGTCCACAGGTTTGAGCTGCGCTATCTTGCACGGTTACCTTCGAAAAGCGTCATTTACAATTGCCAATTTGGGTTTCTTTTAAATGGAGTGAGAACCTAAAAGCATATGAAGTAACGTACTTCTGGATTTATCATTTGTTTTTGATTTTATAACAGTGGTTAAGATACCCCCTACCTTGATAAGAGTTTTTTTTTCGGTGACTTCCCTTTATTGAATTCTTCAAACTTCAGCTAATTTCATAGAAATTAATTTTGTCAGTTTCTGTGCTATTTAATCAAATTACTTAATATAGTAACAAGTACAGCTGGCATCAGACTGACTTGTGGACAACGCGGCTGATTCCTGGTAAGCGTGGGGCTCAGCAGTGGGATCAGAAGTGAAACCCGTGTGTTAGCAAGTGGCCTGAAACCCACTTTGGCCATTGTAATGGAGAGCTGAGGTTGATCAGGCAGTCCACTTAGGGGAAGAAACTGCTGCTGAACTGGGTTTTCTGGGGTAAAAGCAGTGATGTGCTTTCGTTCTTTAATCAAGATGTTAATCGACCAGCATTCTATGTTCTGAATCTCTCAGGATATTGCTATGTATTTGTTAGAAAAAGTGCTTAAATGTTTTTAAATCAAATAGTATACCTTTGTGAGCTAGCTAGCTGAGAAAGTATGATACACGTATGGTTGAGGATCAGAGCAAAAGTAGCTATTTGTACAATGATTAAACCTGTGCTTCATTAATTATGGTATTTTCACCAGCTGAGCTAAACACCAGCCGGGCGAAGGCACGGCCTTTCCTGTTCCCTGTTCAGTAATTTAACAAATTATTGATCCCTCTCCCTATGCCAAAAAGTAACATTCTGAGAAGGAACGGTCACATGTGTAGCCCAAAAGTGAGTAGTTATGTAATGATCCACTAACAAATTAATTTCCTTAGGAGGTGTTCATTTGGACCAGGTATCAAAGGCCCACTGGCATGTATTAAGTGAGAGAGAGGATAAACCAAAATTCTTATCCCCCAGTTTTCCTGGCTGGTTTCTTCCCTCTTCTCTTGAGCCTGTTTGCCCAGGGTTTTACAGTGCCACTGTGCGTGTGCAGGCACGCCCACCTCGCGTGTGGTAATGACAACTTAACATTTATATTCTGCAGTTGATAAAGCCTGTGCATGGTACACTACCTCACTTGGCCCTCCCAACACCTGTAGGGTAGATGTTTTCTGCATGTAACAAAGAAACTGAGTCTCAGGGTAAGTAACTCACCCAGGTTACACAGTAAGTAACAGATGACAAACGTAAGTTCAGCTCTTTTTGAGTTAAGGTCTCCTGTTCCCTCCACCATTATCCTAGGTAGCGATTCAGAAGATTCTTTAAAATATTGTTAGCTTTAAAAGCAGTTCAAGTCAGGAATTTTCCTTGTCCGTTTTGTGTGACTTTGTGGAGATGAAAAGTCCTTTTGTACGTTCCATTGTGTTGACTCTCCTTAGAGGCACCTGAACATTTTTTATTGTGGAGGGAAAAACCCCTTTATTTTTAGAATAATATTATAGTAATTGACAATGTTCATCAGTTCCATTTCTTCTAAGTTGTCAGGATTAAATGACATACTACATTTAAAGTATATTACCTGAAAAAAATAAAATATATTGCCTGATATAGTAAGCACTTAGTAAATGTTAGCTATCGTCAGCAATTATGATGATTACTCTATATGTGTTGGTTTTTTTATTTGAAGAATAGGTTCTTAACCTTTGTATTAGAAGGGAGAGAGGGAAAAGAAAGGAAAGAAGTGAAATGAAGGAAATATCGGAGGCTAAATGTTAAAAGTTAAGCCATGTTCTCGTTTATCTAAAAATCCACTTGATGGATTTGGTAATAGACTTGAAACAAAGATAGCTAACATTTTAATGAGAAGCCTTTATAATTCAGAAAAACTGCATGTGAATTTAAGTTTCCTGATATAATCATTTTGAAACTACTAGCAAAGTTTACTTAATAAATCCTGTTTTGAATTAGTTAATAAAAATGACCCTGTATATATTATATCTCCCACCATGATTTTTATAATTGATTTGGGGAAGATTGTTAGAAGTGTGTGTGTGTGTGTGTGTGTGTGTGCGTGCGCGCGCGCGCGCGTGCATTTTTAAATAAACTTAAGTAACTGGCTTATTTTAGATTTTACGTTGAATGTTTACAATCTGTAATTGTTAATAAGTGGAATTCCGAAATAGTGTCAACATTGCTGTCACTTTCGATAGTCACTTTCAGATTAGTAGGACATGTTTTATTTTATTGCTTTCTATTACCTGAGGCTGTATTTATATATTATAAGGAAAGTATTTCATTAAAAAAAAGGAACAAAGATTCATCCTTTTATTCTATAGACTGTAAGGGTGGGCAGTTGAGGTCCTGCTGCCTTTACTTTCCTTTAGGGGAAGTGGGCTATAGCGGATTTGGATAGACTAGTTTTTAAAATTTTCCTAATACCATAGTATTTACTGCGAAATCTTCTGTACAGATTGCATTCTGCACAGAGTGGAGGCAGCAGTAATACTTTGTGGCTTAGCCCTTCTCTATGGCAAGGAATGGAATCATGGAGCAGTAGAACTTTATAGATGAAAGAGACCTTGGACTTTACGTACACAAGTCTCTTCATTTTCTGTATCAAGAAACTCCCATGGTCAGAGAGCTTCCTCGTTAAAAGGCTGGGACGAGACCTGCATCTCCAGTCAGCTGTCCTGCTCTGTAGAAAACTTGAACTCAAACGTTAGCTACCTCATACCATTTTTAGAAGTGGGCAATCCATCAACAAGTGAAAAGAATATTATGTTAAAATGAAACAGAGTAGTCCACGTATTGGGTGTGTGGAAAGTAATGGGTATCAGTGTGTGTATCTATATCTTCAAGAACACAACTCTTGGGGGACCTCTGGCAGTTTGTGGACAAATCCACCTTCCTGGAAAAAGTTTAAGGGAATTCGTTTCTCTACTTAAGGAGGGCATAGCTAATACTTTTCAAAGTGAGAAGATTCTCAGTAGTTCTGATGAATTTAAGCTTAAATATTAATATCTCTAACATTCAACTTTATTTTCTATTTTCAGGGACCGATTTGCTTAGTGGTATAATACCTGAACTTTGTCAGAAATACCCAGATTTAAATTTCATAATCGGAGGAGAGGGACCAAAGAGAATCATTTTGGAAGAAGTACGGGAAAGATACCAGCTGCATGACAGGTATTTATGGATTCCATATTGTCTTGGGTAAAATATCAATTATCTAAATTCGGTTTTGGCTTCGTGCCTGCATTAAATGGGCTGCTGCTTCTACATGTACTTGATGTAAAAATTTAATGCAGGGCCTGTTTAAAAACATTTATATAAAATGGGATACCGTAGTTAAAGAATTCACAATATTATTTTATTTTTTCTGTTAGCGCAATAGTATTTGACTTTACAGGGCATGATCAGCGTCACCCTGGAAGGCACAAAAAACCAACCGCTTTGATTGGAAGTGTTTGTGGATTTTCAAGCCATACTGAGTTGTAATTTAAATAGCAGGGCTCAGATCATGTCAGTTGCTCCGTATATGCAGATTTGAACATTTCTCTTCCTCAGTTACGTAGATAGCATGCCAGGTGTCTGCCTATGGAGCATCAGTTTAAAAGGGGCATCTTTCTGTTTAGAAATGACACTTTAACATATACTCATCGAAGTATTAATATTTTCATTAAATGCAAACTAATTTTGGAAAAGATGAAATTTGATATGTGTGACGAAAATTAGGAATATGTTAGCTGTATGGATTTTAACCAGCTTTATAAGACCATTTCTTTTAGATCAGAGTTCGAGTTTGGCAGTCTTAATCTTTCGAGGTGGAAAACATTCGAACCAGTAAGAATCTAAATATAATGTGAATAGCACACTTGGCTTATAATTTATATTTCTTTTCCAGCGTGATTTTCACTTTCTTCTTTCTTTTCTCATTTCAAAAATCAGAGTGCGTCTCTTGGGAGCCTTAGAACACAAGGATGTTCGAAATGTCTTAGTCCAAGGACATATTTTTCTTAATACTTCCCTTACCGAAGCATTCTGCATGGCAATTGTGGAGGCAGCCAGTTGTGGTTTACAGGTAAGAAGTTTTGAGGGCTTACACTGTTGGGGATTCTGTACTCATATTTTGAAAACTAATTAGACACATTCTGAATTAATTTTTTTACATTGGTTTTGCTTCTTTTCCTGAGATACAAAGTACACTGGATTGTATGTGTTTTTTTTTTGGTTTTGTTTTGTTTTTCTATAGGTTGTAAGTACCAGGGTTGGTGGGATTCCTGAAGTCCTTCCAGAAAATCTTATTATTTTATGCGAGCCTTCTGTAAAATCTTTGTGCGAGGGATTGGAAAAAGCTATTTCCCAACTGAAGTCAGGAACATTGCCGGCCCCAGAAAATGTCCATAACATAGTGAAGACTTTCTACACCTGGAGGAATGTTGCCGAAAGAACCGAAAAAGTATGTCACGTGCGAAGAAAGGGGTATTTTAAGACTGTGCGAATTCCCGATTCATGTATACGTTTACTTTTTCTTCCACAGGTTTACCATTTCTGTCCTATTAAATTTATGAAGTCTCTTCCCAATGGAAATTAAACTAATGGATTGCTTTTGGTGTATCCTGGACTTCAGATTTCTAGTCTTAGACATTTTCTTGAGGCTGTTTATAATTCTTAAGCATAGAGGTCTATTAGAAAATGTATGGTTTTATTTGGCCCGATTGTGGCAACTTTTTAACTTGTAGATATTTCATTCAGGCTGCTTCCTAAAACTCCTGCGTCCCTTTTGCTAACTACAACGATTTTCTACAGGAAAAGGATTTTTGCATCTTTGGACTGCTTGAAAACATGTGAGAATAGCTCTTTACTATAAGGCTTTCTTACTTGGTTTAAATTGTAAATGCCTATATGTAAGGGAAGCCATATTTGAATGTAAGTGCAAAAATTGTCACATACGTTTTCCATTGAAATAGGAGATCTTCGCATTAACAGTTTCGACTGAAATGTCCCTGAGACACTCTCCCCTTCTAGAAGTTTTGCAGTATCTCTACCCATGTGAAATAACCACCTTTTCTCTGGTTTTCCTTCGGAAGTTAGAACGAAGCAGTGATTACCTGCTGGGGGCACATGTCGGAGTCGCCTGGGTAGCCTTCGCAGGATCTGTTCGGTCCATCTTTGTGTCCCGCTGCCTCTCTAGCCGCTCCCTCAGTGCTAATATGACCCGTTAGGAGCAGAGGTGGAATTTGAGGATGGTTGGCAGGGATACTGGGTTAGACTGATATTTTTCAGTGATCCTCCACTCTGCCTAAGAACCACAGCTCTGTAAGTTGTGACTTCACCCTGACCGACATTATGTAAACTCAGAAATCTGAGCTACTATAGATAAGTTTGGGGCAGAGAACTCTGGTGACGGCTCGTCAGCATATGTTAAAGGAGCTAATTAGGATTTTTTTAACCACAAATTTTCTTTTGGTTTTGTTTAAAGTACTAGTAAAAATCTGTATATTTTTTTTTTCTATTCTGTGGCGATTTATAGTATACATTCAGAAAAAAGTTAATCCCTATTCGTAATGGATTGCCATACCTGTTATTCTGTTTATAGTAGTCAATTACTTTGTCACTTAAGAGAAAAAATTAATTGACCTAGAAATAAAGGTGGACACACAGGTCAGTTTGTAGTTGTTCTTTTAATTCTACACAAAATGTCCACACAGGGCATTTTGATTCCTTTCAACGCCTCCTCAGTTTAACTGTGCTGTTTAAACAATTGAACAAGTTATGCTTCACCTGTCTCAGCATAATTCCCAGCATAATTCTGATTCAGAGACATTCTAGATGGCCTCAGGGTAGACGAGCTGGAAATAAAATCCTGTATCTTTCTAAGGCCAGTGACCTGTAGAACTGGCACTTGCACTTGAGTTCAAGAGGAGATGGTTTACAGATCTGATAATGTGAGAATGAGCACAAGTAATGCTCAGTTTAAATGCAGTTTAAAAAATTAATGATACAAAAAAGATTAATGGTAGCCCATGTTATGTGTTCAAAGTAAGAATGTTTAAAGAGCTTTGTTTTTTTTTTAAATATTTCTGAGTCTAGTGCTTAGCAGTGCTTTAAAAAGCAAGTCACCTACTACCAATTCTCAGCAATAAACTTTGTTTTCTTTGCCAGTATTTGACCTGTACCATCAAGTAAGGGTTCCCCGTCTCTTTCTCCTCCTTTTATTTGGAATCCATGAAATGTTTCTGTACGTCCCCAGCCTCCATGCTCTGCATCACGGCCTCCCATGGCTGTGGGAAGAAGAGATGCTCTGTACCCAGAAAGAACCCCAGTAGATTGTCACGTTCTGATTGCAGTTGATGTCTGCCAGATAGTGAGCGGGGAGAGCTCAGCCGAGTCAAGGAGTCTTAGGAGGCCAGTCCTGCTTCAGGGAGTCACTGCAGAAGTAAATGTGGCCTCGACAGAGGTGACGCAAAGAGTGGCCTCAACGTCTCAGGACTTTAGAATTCTCATAGTTTGTTAAAATTGCTGGCGATCCCTAGGGGACAGGAGCCGTGGCATATTCGTCTTTGTATCGCATGGCGTTTTGTCCAGAGTAAGCGCTGCCTGAGTGGTGAATCAAAAGGCAGTAATTCCTGTAATGAATTTCGTTAGCCACAGCTTTCCTATGTCGACAACAAAATGTAAGCGACTTCTGTTTACATCCATAAAACATTCCTGGTCGTCGTCTGTCGTGGGTCAGAGTGCTCATTTTCCGCCTTTCTCCCGCCAGGTGTACGACCGTGTGGCGGGAGAAGCTGTGTTGCCGATGGAAAGACGACTGGACAGACTCATGTCTCACTGTGGCCCGGTAACAGGCTGCATCTTTGCTTTGTTGGCCGTGTTCAACTTCCTCTTCCTCATTTTCCTGAGATGGATGACTCCAGATTCTTTCATTGATGTGGCAGTGGATGCCACGGGGCCAAAGGGTGCCTGGACTTATCCTCACCCTTACGGTAGAAAACAGGGTGACAATAATGAGGTGTCTCAAGTCAGGTAGAAGAAAACCTGCATTGGAAGATTTTCAATATTTGTAATAGTTCTATTAAGACTATTGACAACAAGCTTGCTCTTTTTCTTTTTTTTAAAGTTAGTTTAGTAAGTTATGCTACCTCTATATCATTCAATGTTTTATTTTGAGCAAAGATAAAAACTTATGCAATTCCTGAGTGTAGAAACTCCTTGCACTTATTTCAAATTTAGGAGAGAACATTTAAGCCACTCAGGTATGACAGTTTTCAGACTACTGAAATTCCTCTAACAGACATGTTTTCACACATTATATTTTGGGAGCTTTGGGTGCTGAAGGGCCAAATGTTTTCTGGACATTTTTTTGGGCCAACTTTAAATGTTCTACCATTAACTAGATAGTCACCAGATGTTTACAAGTTTTCTTTAGGGAAATACAACAACTCTATGAACTCTTTTAAGTCATGTTCTTAACACATTTATTAGACGTTTAAGTCATATTTTTGAACATTTATCGGGTATGCTCAGTATTGTGTATAATCAGCAGGTTTCTTGAGTAAAAAGGTCCATCTGTTACCAGCATGTTTTAAGCAGCTACTACGTGTAGAACATTGAACTAGATACTTCCTGCCGTGAAGGACCAGGGCGCATTCGCTGTTTATCACTCGAATGGCTCACTTTATTGTGGTCACAGTTGACATGAAATGGTGAAATATCCAACATGCCAAAAATGCTCAGGCTTTTAATGCCAGGAAAATAATTGCTGGCATGCTCCGAGTATCTCTTCGATTCCGTTGTATGCATTCTCCTGGGTAGAGCCTCCATCTTCAGTTGTGTTGATGAAAATGCTTTTTTAGTTACTAGGGACCGATATCACTGTTGATGAGAGTGCAGAGAGAAACCCTCCACATCTTTCAGTGTATAATTTAGTCCTCTGTAAATGCCTTCGTGTTTTCCAAGCAGAATGTGTGAGGTGTGCCATCTCAAACTCAGCTGCTACCCTGTACCTTTGAGAAAAATCACTTCCCTTCACTTGTGGCCTAGCCGATGCCTGATAAGTATTGTCAGTGTAGAAAAGTCTTTACCCCAGAATGTTTAATTTATAGTGAATCGAGTGTGAACATTTTAGGAACACAAGTCTCTTTGTGGATGGGTGTGTTGTTAGCTGTACTTCTTGTTGCCCAGAGCCATGGGTTTTTAAACCCCAAATTATCCACATGGTGTGTCTTATTATGAAACTCCTTAGAATACGTTTTTCTGATAAAGGATGGAAATGAAAAGAATGAGGCACATGTGGATGCACTAGGTAGAGTCTGGCAGTATTGTGATTCTGTACAGGATTTTTTTTAAATGACAATATTTACAAAACTCCTTTTTGAAAAATATCTTAACATTGCCTATTAACCTGTTGCCACTGATATATAAGAAATGTATTTGTGTTTCTTACTAAAACACAAATGGAAGAGTGCAGTTTTTAAAATTTAGAAGTTAGGGATTCTCTAAAGAAAAGTAGACTGATCCAAAACATTAGATCTTATTGGGATTTTTATGCAAAGAAGCTGACATATAAATATGGAATGAACAGTGCCAATATTCATGATAAAGTGAGAACTGTAACATTTGGTTTTATTTATTCAGCAGTTTTTATAGGTATACTACTGTTTTTTCTTAGATTTTTTGTTTCTTGGCATTTTTTCAAAATTGTCATTTAATTACTAAATTGTCATTTATTTTGGATGGAGATAAGATTTAAAGTTTTTGCATGTAAAATGTGTAACTCGCAAATTATTTTCCCTTTTTTTTTTTTTTTTTTTTTTTAGCAAATGGAAGTAAATTTGCTTGTTCTAGTAAATGTTAATTTTCAGGTTTCCCAGATACCTTAATCGTAACGATCAGTATTGCACTGGCCAATATGTGCAAACATATTGTTCTACTCTGCTACTTACGTTTATTTAAAAGTGAACTTGCGGTTATGAAGAATTTATGAAAAATGTATTTCTTTTGATGTTACAAAAAGTAGCACGTGTAAAACTGTTTTATGAAAACAAGCTACGTGTCCAAAAATAAAGACCAAAATGACGTTTTGACAATTTTCTGAGTTTGTCTTTCGTTATGAACAGCGCTCCCCCTATCCCACTCCCTCACATGCTTTTTTTTTTTTAGTGCAATAGGTTGTGTTGTGTGGTCTCTTAGTAAAACAGGAAATATCCTGGTGATGAATTCCTCTGTCCTCTTTCTAGAAGACATTCTTTTACTCATAGAATAGCAAGTTCAATTGTGCGTTTGTTTCTCAATCCAAACAAGTCCTTGTTTTGCACTGTGCTAGAATGACTGCATGAGATAAGTGAATATGTCTGTTAACTGTTGTATATGTGAACTACGGGATTATGCTTTGTCTTGTGAGCCGCTTTAAGAGAAATTTGAATTTTTATTTACAGAAGCCATGCCTCTCCCACCCCTTTTGTTGGAAGCAGTGGAAAGCGGTCACCTACGGTGGTATGTTCCGATTTATCTTATATGAAGCTTAATTTTGGCAGTCAGAGTGTCATGGATCTGTGTTTACTTTTGTCAGGTATTTTTACAGGCCTCTCTATCCTTTTCTGTATTCCCCAAAGACTCTGCTAGATGCTGTTCTATCATCCTGCGGCTGGATTTTTTAAAATATGAATTCTGGAAACTAAAGCTCTATACAGAATTTGGTTTCTATTCCACCGTACTCTGAGGAGTTGATTTTTCTTTATCCTTAATCGTTTATGTTTGGCTGTGGCTCAGTAGTCAACTGGATGTAGGGCGTGTGTGAAAGGGGCAGCAATTTTGTCCTCATGGGGACACGTGGCATTGTGTGGAGACATTTCTGGTTGGTACAACTGGATGGGAGTGGAACACTGGCATGGCGCGCATAGAGGTCAGGGATACTGCTAGATGTCCTGCGATGCTTTCGGACAGCCCCCTACCACGAAGAATGACCTGGCCCAAACTGTCAACTGTGCCGAGCCTGAGAGACCCCGGTGCTGTAGATGATTTCATCTCTTGTAAAAGATACCATGAATTAACTCCTTACTTTGGTAGTTTTTTATACCCATCTCGGATATAAGATTGTCTTTCAGAAGTAGTAGAGACGTCCTTTTGAAGCTTAAAAACGTTAAGCTGATTGTGGCCAACTTTTCTGGTATGTAAAACAAAGTACGGCCATGTTTTACATGAAAGTCAAGGCCAAAACAAGATTGAATAATGTTATATGGTACAGTATACATCACTGGGCTGACGTGAGTGAATGATCATCTTAGACTACAGTTGAAGAAAGAGACATGAAAAGAGCTAAAATACTTGTGTTCTTCCGTGTATTTTCATACACGGGTACTCAGCCGGGTAATCTAAGCTTGGTAAAGTCAGCCCTATGTGTTAGTATCTGTTCTCGAGAATCGAAACAACGTAAGATATTTATGGTTCTTTGACACTGAAATGTGCTGCGTATTGTGACTCAAGGCTGTATTCTCATGCATCAGCCTTTTAGCAGAGTCTAGGGGAACAGTTCTGTAGGCAGTCATTCTGAGTCCTAGGAGGAACTCCCATGGTTTTGCATAAAGCATTTATTAAATAAGATTTATTTAGTCTGCTCTTAGAATTTTAAAATGAAAGAGGAGACCTAGATTTTTCTAACCTAATTTTCCTTGGTGAAGAAAATTAAAAATAAATCATTTTCACTTGCATTAGCCAGCTTGTCAAACAGTTAGGGTTACAACTAAGCAATTAGGGAAGGTATAAATTAATAGAACGTTTGGGTACTTCACCCACAACCTAGGGCATCTTCTTTATCCATTTCATTGTGACTCTTCCATGATCAAGGATAGCCCACATTTTCCAGAAAGTGGTACCACCGTTACCGACACTTGAAGTGGGATGCAAACGATCAGTAACTTTTCTGGGGGGACGTAGTCATGGATGAAATAATTATAGTAAGAGCTCTAATGCTTCCAGTCTGACATTTCCACCTGAAAAGGCATCCAAGATGGGCATTTTATTAAATGCTGCCTTAGAGTCATATTTGAGGTTTGGGCTTTATCTCCCATAAACCTCAGAAGGAAGAGGAGTTGAAAAGTTCCAGGGGCTGGTACTTCCCAGCAAGCGCATATAGGATGTGTTTGTACTTCCCTTTATGAACTTCAAATCACTTGCTTTGTCCTCATGGAAACTGAGAAGTTTGTTTTATCTTGCCAATCCTGCCTTCCAACATGATGTAGCAAAAACTAGAATTGAGGAATAAAAAAGGTTGGGATATGAATCCCATTTGTTAGATAGCGCTGAGAAATGTAGGTCTAGAATTATCAGGTGTTTCTGGTTCGAAGGAAGTTTCGTTTATTTAACCTTGCTGTGAATGTCAGCACGCGCAGTCGCCAAATCAGTTAGCTTAGAACCTACAAGCTGAGTTCTCTGTAACAGGAGCACTGAGGGCTAGAAGGTTTAAAATAGATGTCATATGATACCAATTATAACTGAAATTTTGCAGCCCTGAGAACCCATACAGAGTGTAAGCCAAAATGGAGGATGGCCCTGTTTTCTATGGCTTTAAAAACATTTTTATTACAATGTTTGCTACTTTTTTTTTCTTCAAGCTTTTAATTAAAGTTTTTTTGGCTCTCCTAACCCATTTCTATATCGTCAAAGGAAATAGAACAGAAGCGGCTAGGATAGCAGAAGAAATCTATAGTGGGATTTCAGGTAAAAATACATGAATTTGTTCCCAATACTTTTTAAAAATCCTCCTGGATAATTCCCATGAATTATATTTCTAGAAGGGCAGTTTCATTTATACTTTGGCTTTGGGTAGTTTTAAAAAATTATTTAAAGTAGCAAATGGTGACTGTGCCAACTTGTGAAGGATTTTCAGCTTTTTGCAAGTTAATAGTTCTCTTAGCAGTTATTTAAGAAGTAGATAAAGTAGTGGCTTTCTAAGAGTATTTTGAGAAATCTCGTTTCTACTAACCAAAAAAATTACTTACGCAGGGTTATGGTCTTATATTTTTAATCGAACTTTAACAGTGCTTCCTAACAAGATTGAGAGTATCCTTGGAAAATAGAATGACCCATAAATTTGATTTAAAGCAGCCTATGTGACGTGCTATATTTATTTTTGTGCTGTCATTTGCAATTTGAATCGATTAGCCACTTGTCACTGTCAGGAAGAACCCTTCACTAAACCCATTTATACATGGCACTGTGCAAAGCTCTGCAAACAAAGGTCATTATGATAGGAAATGCCAACATCCAGGTCAAACATTTTAAAGTCCTGGCTTCGTAGAATTTAGTATCCATTTCTTTCAAGAAACGATTTCCCTTAATTGTAGTGAGATGCTACAAAAGTAATCGAATCAGATATTCTTGTCAGTGCTGGGATTATCACTTAATAGAGTAGTATTTATTCATAAACAGAGTTCAGAATTTCCCCTGTGTGTTTTTAGCACTCGTAGGGGTTCTAGGGTTACATCATTATCTAGTATCCATTTCAATTTGCATCCAGGATTCTCTTTCAAAATAGACTCATGCTGTGTGATTCGAATACACTAGACGACTTTGAAGACACTAGATAACAGCAGTCTTATCCAAGGAAATAAGACCTCCAAAAACGAAGCAGCAGAATGCTTCAATTAACTGGGGAAAATGAGAAGAACCTTGAAGTTTCAGGAAGTGTCAGAAGGCCCGGAGTGTGGAAAGAGGTTTCCTTTGGGGACTACATTTGTCACACATTTCAGGGAGGTATGTTGCTTAGACTGGCTAAAAAAAAAAAAAAAACAAAATCTGAAAAGCTGTTTTCTAATTTAACTTGTATATATGGGCAGGGACTTTTTAAATATCTCAGTAACCCAGTTTTGATGTTCGCATGGATACATCATCCTCATGGTTTGTATTAGGTAAAGTCCAACGAAGTCAATATTGGCAAGAGTGTTAAAAATGTTTTCTGTTGCTCGTGTGTACTATTTTTGTCTTCGTGGACCTTAATTAAGTACACTCTTAAAAAGGTTTTATAATAGTCAAAACCCATGTAAGCATGGTTTAAGTCTGATTAAAGCCATAATAGAGATATTTTAAATAGAGCTCATTCATTCTTTAGCTCAAATATCTTTATTTGTTCAAGCTCCTAGGATAATGTCCATTTCATTTGTATAGTGTTATAAAGCAAAAAATGTATTTTTTGATTATCATTGACAAGAGGCAGCAGGGAGGACGGTGCATGTTAATTTCTCAGTTTAATTTCCTTCCTATAAATGTGCATATGTGTGTATGGATGGGTGTGTGTGTATACATACACACATGAGTATATCCAGATTCGGTAAATAAGGCTTTCTGTGATAATGTATGAAGTAACGTGCTAGAAACAGTGGTTTTTACATAATTCTAACAGCGTGTTTTCTTTTGACACTGTTAGCAGTCAGATACTATACACTTAAAGCTAGACGCGTTAAAAATCAACAACACAGTTTCGTGCAAGTGTTCAACTCAAACCAGAAATCACCTTTGCCGTTCATTGGTCAGACGAATGTTTGTTGGGAAAATATGTGACATTTAATCAGTAAGTTAGCTTACCTGGCTTAAACAAATCTCAGCCCAAGGTTAAATTTCTTGATTCCAATAGCATATTATATTCCTATAAACTATCATCAGCACTGTCAGAAGAACAAGGGGAGGGCGGTAAAAAACTCGGCCAGGGCAGAGCTCAGCCTGTCCTAGGTCCTGGCACTTTTTCTTTTGGAAGCAGCACCTACGATCTTATCCCTCATTAGTGTTTTGTTTGTTTGTTTATTTTTGTTTGTTTGTTTTTACTGTAAAATCTTTCTGGAATACATCATTCACTATGTCTTTGTGGTTTAAATTATTCCATTTGTAGATAACTAATCAGAATTGAGTTAAGCTATTGTTGGCTTGTTGATTTTTTTCAGGCTGCTTTGTGTGTAGTTTGTCATTAATACACATGTATGTTTTTAAGTTTGAAACAGTGTCATTGGCCCTTGGCATTACATTTAGAGCACCAGACGGATCACTGGATCCTCCCTTCGGCCCATAGATTTTTCTGCAGGTACTATCTTTCTCCTGAGAGATAACAGTGTATGATTCTTCAACCTTAGCTAATTTGGCCAGAATCGAACCTGGATTTAGTACAGTGGTTTAGTCTTCAAACTTGATAAAACTATAGATATAGGTTGATGATCTGTTTTCGCAGTCCTTGGACCAGATGTGTTTCAGGATTCAGGAGTTTTAGGGCATACTAGGAAGATTACACAGAGTGTATACTGTGTATTTCACAGCACACTCCCAGCAGGGCCTAGAGCTGCCTCCCATAAACAAACATTTTGCTTTTCAATAGTGAACATATAAATATTCACACTAAGTGAAAATACAAAATAAAAATAGTAAATTGCTTAACCTGAGTCCTGGCCACGTTTTGCTTATCAAAGGAGTTGCATCAACCTTAGGGAAAAGCTTGGTTTTCAGAACGTGGGGAATGTTATAATGGCCGATATGAGATTGTGGAACTATTGGAAGCTCCCCCAAAAAGGGTAGGGAAGGGGGTACTCTTTTAAGCTAAGTCTAAAAGATTGATTCTATTCTGTTACACTTAAAATCAGTTGTCCTTTTTGTTCTGAATCCGAAGGACTCACCATTCCTTGACTCCTTTGTTCTATCCTTCCCATTCGGACAGATGCCCACTGACTGTGGTTTATCTCCTGACCGGGGCTGAGTGTTCTAGAGAGTATTCATTTTAACTCAATTTTATTATAATATTTTAGAGATATCAGGAAATTTGTTATAATATGTTTTTTTACAGTTACCTTTGTTACTTAAAATATCATGAATTCTGCTAGGTCCTTGCCTATCTATATTTTGGTTCAAAATGGAAATTCCTTTAGAATTTTCTCTGATAAATGTTGCAGGAGAAGATATTGCTTCATACGATTTTGGAACTTGACTAAAGAGAATAAAGATTGTTCCATGTGCACTAGAGATTATAAGCAGTTAGTCGGCTTTTTAAAAATAATAAATCAGTAATCTTAAATACTTATTGGAATTAGGAAGGGTAAACATTCCAAAAAAAATTTTTAAATTACAATCGTTTTCTTATCTTGAACACTTGAAACTCAGACAACTGAATTCCATCCGAACCAATTTTGTTATTGAAATCTGTGACTTTCGAAGTTGTCATGAAATTGTTATGCAGAGAGTGAGAAGTAGAGATATAAATCATACTCTGAGAAGAAGTCACAGGCGAGAATGAAAAAGTACTTGAACATTTTCCATACACCTCGTCAGGAACAAGTAAACATATTTGTAAACTATCTTTATAACGTGCTTGCAGCCCTGTGACACAGGCAGTCTGCCAAATAACTAAAAATAGACTGCCTTAGAAGAGAGTGACTGATTCCTACTTAAGCATTCATTTATTTGGAGAGGTTGATTGCTTATTTCCTGAAAGGAATGGAAAAACTCCCTAGCTGCCAAATAACTTTTATCGCTTATTTCTCACCATTAGCTCCAATTTGCAAAACAAGAATAAGGGTGAGAGAGTTCGCATTGGGAATAAGAGAAGGAAAACACGAGAACCCACCTTGGCAGGGTTTTCTGGAAAAAGGTTTTATGTGAAAAGTCTTCGAGGTCTTTCGGAGCAAGTGCTAGAAAACAATTGTGACTAGAAAGGTGACTTCCTCGACAGCGGTTTCTTTCCAGTTTCTGCATTTACGGCGGCGTGAGAGATTTATTTTACATTATCTATAGACAGAAGGTGGATGGAGCAAAGCTCTCCAGACCAGTAAATCTGCCACGAGAACAGGCAGAATTTAAATACCAGTAGCTCTTAAAACCAGAACAGGCTGTGTTCCGGTCTCAAACCTTGGATTTCTGTCCTATTTCTTCCACTTACTAGAAGTGAGATGTCTTCATGTGCGGCAAGGGGGTTGTCGAACATTTGTGCATTTAGGGGTACTCTGATTCCTGAAGGTAGGCTCTTCCCTTCCCCCCTCTCTTGAAAGCCAAGGGATGGGGGCTGCGAGAGAAATGCAAGTTTAGATAAGGGGCGCTTGAAAGGAGAAGAGCCTGGTATATCACTCTCAAATTGGAAGTCTGCTTAGGCATCTTGCCGAAATGCCTCCTGGACTACTCAAATAGAAAAGAGATTTGGAAAGCAGTGGTGTGGCGAGGAGCCCAGGCCAACCCACCATCCCCCGCTTTCTTGGTGGAACGGAAGATGGCTCCACGGGCTTCCCGTGACCTCAGAAGCATGGGGTGGGAGCAGGGGGCGTCAAAGGATGCTGCATTGACGGGAGACATGAGGAGAGGTGGTCAAATGCCAGTGCACAGGAAAGGGGCCGGGGAGTGACTCTGCTCTGAAGGGCAAACCCGCTGGCCAGAATTGAGACCAGCTGCTGAGGCCGAGTGAGCAGGACCGGCCTCTTCTCCCAGTTAACTGGGGAGACATCTTCCCTGTCCCTGCTTCTCCCCACACCCAAGGCACCAGAGGAACTTGCACCTAGAAGAGGGAAGTGGGGACGTGTGTGAGAACACGTCACACTTCCATCTCCAGCACTCAGGTGGCACAGAGGGCCATACTCTGCCCTGGGAGCGGAGATGACAGCTTGAAAGTGGACTGTATTGAAGTCTGGTGTAAATACAGACAAGTGCACAAACCCTAAGCGAACAGCTGGATGAATTCTCACAAAGTGGACACAAGCAGCTGCCAGGTCCCAAGGCCAAGAAACTGCATATTACCAGCATGGTCCCCACCAGGCCCTCTCTTAGCCCCTGCCCCTCCTTGGGGTACGTTGGACGCCTAATACCCAAGGTGAGTTTGGCCCTTTTTTGAACTTTATAGAAAGGAATCACACAGCACACGCTCTTTTGTGCCTGGCTCCCTTCACTCTATGTTAGGTTTGTGAGATCTCTCCAGGTTGTGTGTATGGAGCAGGTCTCATGGGACAGATGAGCAATAGCAAGGTACTAGAAATAGGATGAAGATGTGGTGAAGGTTCCTGCTTCTCAGAAGGAAAGGGGATCCACTTGGAGAAAAGTTTTAGAAATAGTAAAGCCATTTCATGTTGATATTCTAAATTAATAATAGCAAGTTTACCACTTCCATCTTGTTTTTATTTTTGAATCAAATAGTTATAGTACCTTCAGGTGACTTGGGTTGTCTGGCTATTGTTAGAACAAAAGAATAACAAAGCCATGGCTGTGGGTTTGCTTCTGACACTGGTCGGGATGCTGAGCTGCCATCAGTAGGTAAACACTGCCCTTAAGATCCCAGTGCCTGCGTCCATTTCCAAGAGCAATTAAGCAGGGGATCACCATGTCTGATGCACACTTCACCCTGAATGAGATGGAGAGGCATTAGAAAAAAACCAAAGCTGACTAAGTACATGCAGACATTATCTCATTATTCTCAGTTTATGCAAATAATAAATATCCAAGAGATTTAAAAATACCCCACTCATCAACTTGTAACTGACTCAGGAACAAGTGTAGATATAAGCACAGCGGACTTTCATCTTAAAGTTTTTATCTGTTTTTGTTCTGTTTTTGTTTTTGTTTCATACTCCTGATGTGAACGTGTAATAAACGCATTACACATTCACATCAGGAGTATGAAAACACTAGTGATTTTATTTATACATATAAATAATACACTTTTTAAAAAAATTTGAAGCTAATTTCAAAATGACAGAAGTTACAAGAGTGGTATAAGAATTCCCGCTTCTCTTTGCTCAGAAACCCCCATCATATTTCCCCAGCTGTCGTAATAATGTCCTTGATGGCAAAAGGATCTAATCAAGGTACACGCGTTTCTTTAGATGTCGTGTTCCATCAGCCTCCTGCAGTCTGGAACAGTTCCCCAGTCCATCTGAACTGGTTACAGGCCAATTATTTTGTAGAATGTCCCTTAGCTTGAGTTGGTTTGCAGTGTCCTCATGATTAGATGTGGGTTACGCATTTTAAGCAGGACTGTCACAGAAGTGATGGTGTGTTCTTTCCATCGCATTCCCACTGATTGTACATGATGTTGCTCATTGCATTCCATCAGGTGGCACTGTGCCATTTTGTTTCCATCTCTTCTGATGTTAACTTTGATCCCCTGGGTAACGTGTTATCTATAATTTCGTTCCACTGTAAAATTACCGCTGTACCCTTTATGACCATATATTTTGTGGGGAGATAATTTGAGGCAGATTCTATTATTCTACATTTCTAAGTTGGAGTTCTACTCTAAGAAAGAGCTTTCTCTTCTCTGAATTTATATAATAGATTCATTTATATCAGTGAGGACTTAACAGCCTCCTATTTTATTTAATAGGAATTAAATTATTATTTAATCTATCATTATTTGTTTGGATGCTCAAATTGTCCCATATTTGACCAGTGGAAGCCCCTTCGAGCCAGCTTCCCATCTCATTAAGCACTTCCTTACTCTCTGGCAAGGAATATGAGGCCCACCTTATATTTTTCCTGGCCCCACCCTGGAATCACCCATTTCTCCAAGGAGCCCTGGTTTAGGCGTGAGTGCACAGCGTGTATATATAATCACATTTCATACTGCTTGCTCCAATTTCGATCCAAGCCCGTAGAGTTCATTCTAGCTTCCCCCCTTTTCAAAACCCAAAGCGCTAGAGAAGATAAAAAAATGAGTTTCAGCGTAAGAAGAGGGCTTACTGAAATGTTTATAGCCCATGTTCTCATCGATTGAAAAAGTTCACTCTCTCCTTGAGGCCTCGAGCTATTTCAAAACCACATAATTCCCTCCTTGGTGGGATTGTTTTTGCGAAGGTTGCAGGTATGGGGAGACCTGGATTCTTAACACCATCAGGACCACCTGGAGGTTGGTAAGACAGGCCCTTTGTGTTAAATCCAAATTGTGTTACATGCTGGTCGATGTATGAAGAGCTCAGTTATAATTTGAAGAATGCACAAATTTTGCAAACCGGGGTAGGTTTTCCTCCAAAGTGGCTGATTACCCTTAATAGAGCGTTACTTCTCACGTGCCCATTTCAGCTGGTTAGTCCTATTTGCCCACAAGCAATCACAGGAAAGATATGTTCCCAAGGCACCTCTGAGTCTGTTCCCTAGAGCGCTGCCTTACCATGTGTACTTACTAGGAAATTATCTCGAGCACCTGTCATCGTGGATGCATTTTTATCATCCTACTTAGAGACTGAAGCGCATGATAAATACTAGATTACTCTTCCCTCATTTTACAGATCAGGAAATTGAGGTTCAAATAATTTTAGCAACTCGACCGTTTGGGCAGAGAAAGTGATCAAGGTAGGACTTGAGCCCAGGCAGTGTGGCTCCCTTGGCCCCATGTTTAGCAATCACACTCAACTGTCCCCAACAAGGCTGTTTAGAGATAAACTTTTGGAGGATTAGATCAACTGAAAAATGACTTCCTGCATTATGATAATATATATATTTCATCACCCAAACAAAAGACAGTTACCTAGGGAATTTAGAACACGACCACTTTCCCTGACCCGCTCGAATCTCCTTCATGCCGCATAGGATGTTGAGTCTTTAGGGTGGGGGCGAGGGTGAGAGGCAGGGGAAAGATGCAAGTGGGGAAGCTCACTGTCCAACTTTGCCCTCTATTTTGCTTTATTCAGAGCTATTGATTCAAACACTGGGCAATATTTATATGAACTGCATCCGTTGCTTATTAAAACTGCCCCCAAAAGCCAGAGATGATCTGTGCCTTCTCTTTGCACCCACCACCAAACTAATGGACTATACACTCAGTGGCCTGTAAGCCTGAAAGTATTTGACAAGAGAGCCGGATGCTTGGTACAAACTTCCTTCCTCTTCCTCCAAGTGTCCTCTCACAGTGGGCGGGGCATACGACCGAGCTGCAGGAAGAAGACTCCAGACCTTGACCTTCAACTTGATTTGTGTTTCAGACTGCTGGGCTGATCGATCCCCGCTTCATGAGGCTGCGGCCCAGGGGCGCTTATTGGCCCTTAAAACTTTAATTGCACAGGTAAGTAAACTGAAGATGTGATCCTTTGTACTTATGATATAATCAAGCATCATTATCAACCAGGGCAGCAGTCATCTCAGACCTCAACTGGGGGAAGATCTGCTTTCAGCCTCACTCATGTGATTGTTGGTCAGCTTCAACTCTTTGACAGATGGGTCTCTATAGGGCTGCACCTGCATCACAAGGTGACCACTGGCGTCCATCAGAGAGAGAGAGCATAAGAGAATGCCTAAGGAAGGAAGTCTTAGTATAGCCTAATCTTCAAAGTGACAGCTCATCACTTCTGCCATATTCTCTTCATTGGGTGTGTGTCAGTAAATCCAGCCCACACTCAAGGGGGCCAATACTAGGACTCAGAGTTCACTGGGAGCTGTCTTAAGGGCTGCCTACACCAGTGATATACTATTTCAAGAACAAACATTCAAATAGGTTGACAGATGAGTAAATCTTACTTCTTTGGGAAGCCTTATTAAGGTCTTAGTTATCAAGGCTACTTTATTTTTATTTATGACTGTATCCCTAGCACTTTGAATAATGAATAGTGGCCTAGAAAATATTTGTGACATGAATGAAAGTGTGCATGCTCCATTTACTTTGTTTTAGAGTCGGCGTGTGTACAGAGTTGGTGAGTCATATCTTTTTTCTACATCCCAGCTACCACCGAACCTGGCTTCCTTACCATTTTGAATTTAAACAGCTGAGCACACTGCTTTTTATTTTTGTATGTGTGCCTTTCCCCACCCCTCCTTGCGAGTTGTGTTAGTTCTCAAGAAAGTACAAGCAAAAAGAAAACAGTACTGCCAGTAATGATCAAATAGGTTTTGTACTTGATTTTATCACTTGCTTATTTATTTTAAGCATTTTACATTTTATCTGCTTTGATTATTTTAATACGTAATATATTCACATAGTTCAAAAATTGTAATGATATAAAAGGGTACACACGGAAAAGTCTTGCATCTAACTCCTCCCTCAATACTTTTCTTAGAAGTTTTAATAAACTTAATTTTGAAATGACTTTAAAGAAGCATTGCAAAGATAGTACAGATCCATCCATACCCTTCACCCAACTTCTCCTAGTGTTAATATCTTACATAACTGCGGTCCTTCAATCAAAAATAAGCAATTAAGGGATTAAGAAATACATAATAGTCTCGGGGATATGAAGTACAGCATGGGGAAGGTAGTCAATAGTATTGTAATAACTGTATGGTGCCAGGTGGGGACTAGACTTATTGGGGGATCGCTTTGTAAATTATATAAATGTCTCACCACTATGCTGTACGCTTGAAACTAATAAAGAATAACATTGAATGTCAGCTGTAATTGAAAAATAAAATTAAGAAATTAACACTGATACGATGCCATTAACTAAAGTACGGACTAAGGGGATTACTTCAGTTTCCCTATTAGTGTCCATTTTCTCTTCCAGTCCTGGATACCACGTTGCGTTGAGCATGTCTTTAGTTTTAACTCTGCTTCGTAAGCACGTTGGTTTTTTTTTTAGGATGCTTACATGTGTGAGGAGCCTTCCTCGTGGAGAAGTTCAGTTTTTCCTTAATACACCCCCTCTTCTTTGCCTTTACACACTAGCCAAAATGTGTTATTCTATTTTATTTTTCACTTTGTTTCACATTAAGATGGTGTACTGAGTAAAACAGTAAACTGAGGACCAAGAGCTCCTGGTTTTCATGCTGGCTGTCACATACAGCTGGCTGGGGGTGGGGGGGAGGGTGTCTCAAGTCTTATGAATAATTGGAACTTTCTGCTTCTTCATTTTCTCACACACAGTGGAGGGGATTCAGATGTTCCTTCAGGCCTGTCCAGCATTGCATTTCTATAGTTCCTGGGATTCTGAAAGTTTGCGCTGATCAGGATTTTTTTTTCTAGCACATGGCTGCCACCTTGTGGACTAGCCACTTTTTCTTTTCTCGAAAAGGAATCCTGTATGGGAAAAGAAAAAGGGAAAGATTTTTCTAATCATATTAGATACCCAACTTGAATATATAACACAGCTCTGTAGTAATGATGTCATATTCAGGACATGAAAATGGACAGAACTCAGGAGGCGCACAGAGGTTCTACGATGAAGGGACGGGCAGTAGTGGGAAGTGACGGGCAGCACCACAAAGGCCTGGCAGGAGATAGTGGGTACTTAGGTTGAGGTTTGGGGTTCGGGGTCAGGCAGTAGCTTGGCAGGGAATCAAAAACAGAACTCAGCTGCGAGGGATTAACCGGGGACCTAATTCCTTTCACAGATAGAAAGTAGGAATCATGGCGGGAGATGGTCAGGGCCAGGCTGTTAAAATCAGGGCTCGAAGTCAGTTGGTCAGCAGCTGGGCTGACCCTATCCTCTGTCACCTGGATTCCAGGATGAGGAAGGTGGAGCACGGCTATATGGGGAGGGGCAGTGCGCTAGGGCTGCGCCGAGCCACTGGGACCCGGGTAAGGAGATGGGGTTAGGAAAAGCCCCTGGCCCCAGACCCTGGTGGCTGCAGAGACCTCTGCATGCAGTGGAGTCATGGCAGCAGCAGCAGCGCGGCCACAAATGCACGTGGATCCTGGGAGTGCTACCTACTTTGTTTCCTACGCTTAAAGCCTCGGGCTCACCCTTTTCTTCCCAATCCGATTATAGTACGTTAAGTGTATTTTTTCTTATGATTTCCTTAATAACATTTTCTTTTCTCCAGCTTATTGTATTATAAGAATACAGTATATAATAATAGAACATACAAAATATGTTAATTGACTTTTTATGTTATCGGTGAGGCTTCCGGTCAACGGTAGGCTATGAGTAAAGTTTTGGGGGAGTCAAAAGTTACACTCAGATTTTTGACTGTGCAGGGGCGTCGGGGTCCCTAAACCCCGCATTTTTCAAAGGTCAGCTGTACTTTTTTTTTTTTTTGCCTTCCCAGCTTGAAATTCTGTATGCTTTAAGCCTTAGCTAAATACTACCTCATTTGCAAAGTTTTCTCTTATTCCGCGAGCCAGATTCAAGGATGCCCTATGCTCCCGATTGCAGTTTGAACTTGCCTCCAGCATAGCAATATATTCTTGCTGCCTTTCCCCCCATTTCTGTTTCCCCACTAGGCTCTTGGAGGAGAGACACCCATATCATAAGCTTTGAAGACCCAGGCACATTGCCTGGCCCAGAATCGCAAATAAGCATTTGATGAATAAATTCAAGGCTCCCACGCCATATTTTGACTCCCCTGGTCACGGGCTCTACTCTGTATGATGCCCACAAGCCGATCGAAACGGGTCCGACAACGTTGCTTTCATTGCTATTGCTGATGCAGCCTTTAACCCGCTTCTCTCCAAATTGTAGGGTGTCAATGTGAACCTCGTGACAATTAACCGGGTCTCTTCTCTCCACGAGGCGTGCCTTGGAGGTCACGTAGCCTGCGCTAGAGCCTTATTGGAAAACGGCGCTCGCGTGAGTACCGCCCCCTCCCCGCAGGTCTGTCTGGCCAAGTGCAGCTGCCACCATCTAAAGAGATGTGACCTTCCAGACTGCTTACCCGCTGTGGGTACACAGGTCTGGCCCCATCTGTGTCCACATTCCCGCATGGTCAGGAAGACACTGCTGTGTGCTCTCCTCTTAAGCCTCTATGCCCATGTGTGAACATGTAGATGAGGTAATTCACAGAAATCTTTCAAAATCGTGATGCTAACTTTTAAAAAAATCAATTGAACTGAAGTAATTTGAAAAACGATCTTGGAAAACTTCTTGTAATACATTAAAACACACTTGAAAAGAATAACAGCAACAAAAAACCCGCTCTTAATTCAAAACCCTAAACCAACAACTATGCTTACTGAGCAAAATTATTAAACTAAACGAGATTTTAATAAATAATACGTTGAAAAAAACTACAAAATTAACTTTATCTTATTTTTAAATTCTCTTTTTTTCTTCTCAAGGAATGACTGAGGTGCTGTATGTAATCAGATACCAGAATAGGATTATAAAATTTAAACTTTTGAAAATGCCAGTGACATTTATTTAGTTCGTTACCAAATAGTTTTGTTGCTAATTTTGTTTTTAAACTCAGTCCTTGCATGGTTTCATGAGCTGCAATGTTTTTTAAGTGCTTAATGAAGATTTTCTTTGCGTTTTATACGGAAGCTGCGTTTCTACCTGTGGAACTGATGGTCAAAGCCTTCCGTGGGCAAAGTGACTTTCCTGATGCCATAGCGGTTGTGTATTTTCATAATGGCTTCTTTAAGTTACCACTTAGCTCACGTGTAGTGATGAGGGCAAGGTTGGGGGAAGGCCATGTCCTTTCAAACTAGATAGCTGGAGTCACAGGCAGACTGTGGGTGGGAAATATCTGACAACATTGGGTCTCAGAGGAATGTATGCTGATACAACTCTGGGAGGTTTCGTGCGTGACAAAGATAAGAGTAAGACACGGTCCTTTGTCTTTGGCAATCTTGTGAGGGAAGAATAAATACATATTATATTATTTAACATTGAAATCAGAACGAGAGAAGGAACAAGAAGAAATTGTTCTATCAGTAGAAAATTCCTCAAAATTGACAGTGTATCTGAGACTGTGCTTATCATGTTCTTTCTGGGGGCCGGCTCCTCCTCTTGGATTCTCAGCCTCAGAGACCAAGTGAAAGATATCCCTGGTTTCCCAAGCTCCAAAACTGGATCATCCTTCTACTGCCACCTCATCTAATTCATCACAATGTCCTGCTAATTTTACTTCCAAAATGTTTCTCAAGCCTATGCTCTCCTGTGTCCTTTTCCTATAATGATCTAAAGCATTTATCGTTGTATCAAAATTATCTCTTTTTGTATTTGTCTTCCATGGTAGAATTCAACTTATTCAACAGGAGGCAATTGTCTTGCTCACCTTTGTCGCGAAAACATTGGCATCTAATAGATGCTCGATAAATGTTTGCTGACCTGAACGGAGAGAGAAACTTATAGAAAATCAAATTAGAAGGCCATCTGGACTGAGGAAGAGGATAATACTTAGTAAAAAGAAATCAAACGAGTTCTACCAAATATTTTTTAGGAAAAATGTAAATAGGTGAGAAGTCCCTAGAGTGTATAAATTTATACACATTATTTCCTGTCCTTGTTTGTCTCTGCCATCTTAGCATCTCATCGCTAACTTTCCAATTTAATGGGGCTGTCCTGGCACTGTGGAGATATACTTTTTTTTTTTTTATTTCTGAAACAAGGAAATTTAGGATCCTGATTATCACAAGCATATATCCTTAGTTGTTGAGGCAATATGGTTTGACAGCAAGCCCTCATCATCCTCCATTTCCATCCTATTAGAGCCTCTGCCCCAGAATTCCTTGTTCTCCTAATGTTCTTTCTAATCTATTGCTAATATTCAGAGATGCTTCCTAGCGTGCTCATTCCCAAGTGCCTAAATCCGTAGAAGGCACCAGGTTGGAGACACCATGTTGATGGCAATTTTCTTTGTGCCTTTGGTTTGGTCATGATCTCTCTGGGAGTTGCTGCAGGCATATGTAATTTGGATGGATTCTAGTAATCCGGAAAGGAAATCTGTAGCAAGAAAGACAATGTAGGAAATTGCCGAGGAGAGTTTTTGCAAGCACTGATTTTGGGACCTTAAGCTAGCTGGTTTCTCTAGTATTTTTGGTTTCTGCCATGTTTGTTCATGATTGAAAGAAAGAGTCAGTTCCATAGTAATGGAAACTGGAAATAATTGTTGCAAATGTTTATTGAATGTTTACTGGGCCCCAGGCAATGTTCTAAGTGTTTAACGTATAGTAACTCACTTGACCTACCAAGGCAAAGAAAGTTAGTAGCCCAACCAAGATCTCTGAACAAAAAAAAAAAAAAAAAAAAGAGAGAGAGAGAGAGCTGGCATTTGAATCCAAGCTAATGATTTCGTAGGTCATGTTCTTAACCGCCATACAGGACCACTCCTCAATGGTTATGAGGTTCTTAAGAAGCTTTGGAATACTCATGAATACATTTTAAAAGCTTTGTCCCTTTTTGCCCCATTTGAGATATTATTTATAGGTGAGAGTTGATAAGCTACTGGTAGCTAAATAACATAATACTGAAATGATGTAGAGTTCCCTTGCTCGTTTACCAGTATGGGAAATTTCTCCAGGCAATATACAGGACTACAACTTGGAGCTGGTGATAAAGAAATAGCAGATCCTCTGAGTCTCTCTGCCCATCATTAGGTCAATGGAGTGACGGTTCACGGAGCCACGCCCCTCTTCAATGCTTGCTGCAGTGGCAGTGCTGCATGTGTCAATGTGCTGCTGGAGTTTGGAGCCAAGGCCCAGCTCGAGGTGCACCTGGCTTCCCCCATCCATGAGGCAGTGAAGAGAGGTAAATGAGCCATCACGTTACACACAAAACATTGGTGGACTCACTGCAATCTGCATGAATCAGTGGTATGGTGTTCACCGTGCAAGGATCACCCAGATCTTCTTCACCGGTAGGCTACATGTGGCTTAGAAATCCCACAGCAGTAGCTTCAATTTGCCTAAATCTTCAAGAAATACCTCCCGGGCATGAAACAGCTCTTCTTATAACCTGGGAATGGCTTTCTGTCCCAGATGTCCCATTTCCTGGGTCCAGTCTCTCTGCAGGCCTTTCTCGAGGCTCTTTGCTGGTATTTTGGTGGCAGCTGGTGCAGTAAAGACTGCAGGTGTGACTTCCATGAGTCGTACTGTGCTTATGTCTCTGTCATTACTAGAAGAGAATAGCTTGACCCCTAAGCCCATAAAACATCAACCACTAACGTAAATTATGAAAGTGTCTGAAAGCCAAGGCTGATAGTCTTTCTAATGAAAGATTAGATGTAACTGTCCACAACGAGCAATATATTCTAGATGAGCTGATGACTTCAAGGTCATTAGTTATTGAAAAAAGTTTGCAAATTTAAAAAGCATAGCAATTGGAAACCTCGAAGTTGACTCTAGACTCCTGTGTTACTTTTGAAATGAGAAAAAAGTAAAATTAAGGAATTTTAAAATTGCATGCATAGATTAGACATGAACAAGAAGATGCCATTGAAAGGCTAAGGCCGTTTGTCAAAAGTTACACTTAAAGAGCAACATTTCTGTGTTACCCAGTGGTGGAGTTATTCTCTTATATCGAGGTCAGAAATACAATGGAGAAGTTAGAACATTGTAGAACGGTGACCTTGCTGGAATAATTGGAGACAAAAGTCTTTCTTTCAAAAGGCAATAGTTGAAGATTTGCCCCAGTTTATTAAACATGTCACTTGGTAATTTTTTTTTTTTGCAGTGAATTAACTATAAATGTTACAGAAGACTCAATTCTCAATGTATCTATGGTTTTGATAGCCTATACATATTTAATAAACATTTATTAATTAATAACAGATGTTGGCCATTTCCCAAAGTAAGTCCTTTAAATTGTGGAGAAATAGTCTACTTTGGAAATGATATAAAAGTCTTTAAAATTTTTTATTATTTATTTGAAATAAAAATTAATCTATTATTCGCATTTCATCCAAACATTTAAAAATAGGTAAATATTGGGAAAGGTTTGAATTACTTGAGTAATTCTGTAGTGCTTAGCTGGTTATATAAGTAGTGTTTGGTATCTATGCGCCTACAAAATATATATGTTTATCCTAAACACATGGATTCATGTGTCTCTACATATTATTTTTCTGTATTATAAAAGCATGTTAGGGACCAATGTCAACAGAATGGAAGGATGAATAGCAAATTCATTATTTTAGATATTGTTACAATAATGCTAATCGTATGACTTTTAGATATTCATTTTTTAACTTCCCGAGAATATTTAAATTTAACTCAAACTAGGCTCAGTTTCTTCTTTAAAAAAAAGGATGGGAATTATTCAAAAATGTTTATTAGATACCCTGTATTTACCAGGAAGTTTGAAGTACTGATTAGATATTATTTCTGGATTCTTACAACTTTAAACCTCTATGAACAGGCTGGGTCAGTATGAGACATATCGATGCTATAATCCAGGTATAATATTTACTTATGTGAACAAATAGTTTGAATCCATGGAATCCTTATTTGTACCTTTTAATGCATATATATACTTAGAATTTGTGATAAATCAAGCAGGTTTGAGACGAAGTTTACTTCCATGTGATCTATAAAGAAAAAGTTGGTTAAGTTAATCAGTGATGATAAGATTTTTTTTTAAAAGAAAATATTTAAATCTTCAAAGAGAACAAACCTATTACAAGCTCCCACTGATACCTCAGAAGCATTTGCTCCTGAATGAATCATTCATATGCTGCAAATTAACCAAGTCTGTCTACTCATAGGGCAAACTCTAAGGAGAATATTCATTAATACAGTTCTTGTTAGCCATTGAATTTGAATGTATATTTAAATATATTCTATACTCGAGGTTTTTAATTAATTCTCATAGGTATCTTCCAGGTTAGCCAAAATAAGGAGATTTTACTGCATGATGCTGCCATCCACCCAATTTTTCATGCATGAGTGAAGAAGAGAACGAGAGAGTTGTAATGGAGAGTGATCAGGGCTGGGCCTTGCATTTGAGCACTGGCTTCAGAGCAATAATAGAATGAGTCATTTACCCCTCTGGGTCTTGTGGCCTCCATTTGTAACTGGTGGCTTCATTTTAGAGGATTTCAGCTGTGCTCCTTGGAGACCTTAGTTTAGTTGGAGATACCTCAAAGGCTGCAGGGGAATTTAAGTGGGGGAGGCGTGGGCATGCTTCTCTTTCTAATAGTTTTATTTTGGAGCATTCTCAGATTTTCCTTCCCCCTCAAAAAATATTTTTTTTCTGCTTAAAAAATAATCTATGTTATTTCTGAAGCCTAGTCCGGATAAGCAACTCTATAATTCTGTGAATAGTTGGTATTTCCGTTACTTGAATGAGGTTATCTTGTATTTCACCAGGTCATAGAGAGTGCATGGAGATTCTGCTGGCAAATAACGTTAACATTGACCAAGAAGTACCTCAGCATGGAACTCCCCTGTATGTGGCCTGCACCCACCAAAGGGTAGACTGTGTGAAGAAACTTCTAGAATTAGGTAACTTTCAGAAATCTTGTCATAAGAACCTATTAACCTTGTTGGTTTTCCATGGTTTCAAAGATGAAGTGCCTGTCAGGCTGGAAAAAATTCTGACAGCATTTGATGTTTCAATGCTTAAAACAACTTCTCCAGAGAAACAAGTATCTGTATTTTTTAGTTCTGCTTCCTTTGATATTGGCTCCATTTACTTGGTATGGTGCTCCTTGGTGGTCTCAAGAGAGAGCAAGAGTCTCTTTCCCATAAGTCCTAGGGGAAAAAACAATTGTATTTCATTTGTTCTTTTTGAGTCACATGCTCATGTGTGAACCAATCATGGTGGCCAAAGGAATTCAAGGCATTGATTGGCTTGGGCCTAGGTTTTGGCCTACACTGCAGTTGTTGGGCTTCACTGGGAACACATGAACTGGAAATCACAGGGAATGGTTAGTTCCCTAGGGGCAATCTAAGTGTGGTTACCAGGAAGATGCTGGATAGTAAAAACAACAGACATTTGCCACAGACTACTTTAGATCGATCCTGCTAAGTTATTTAGTAATAGTTTTTTAAAAATCTAAAGGCATGTAAAGAAACAGAGTCCAGAGAAGAGTAAAATGTCTTGAAACTATTATTCGTTTATAGATTCCTCAAAGTTAGCCACTGACATAAAGATAGAGATTGTAGTAAGAACATTTAAATAAGAAATTTTATCTCGAAGATTTTTCTTGTCTTTTCTCTGCCATCATATACTGCTCCCTAGAGTAATTCATAAATCATTTTTGTGAGCCCTGAATAATATAACTACTAAATTAACTTAGTTTTATCCTTTGCCAAAAATCAAAATAGCTCTATGTAAAAGAAGCTGCACATATTTAATTTTTATGTGACAAAGTTCATATGGAAAAGTAAGTATTTAAAATGACTAAAAATATTTTTATTTACTTTTCTCATCACAATATTTCGAAACAGTCTTAATAGACATTGCTGAGGTTCTAGGCTTATGTCACATTTTCAAAGATTTGTCAAGTACGTCCTGGCATTTAAGATGTCTTTCTCTACAGGTACTATAGTTTAGACTCATTGCGTTTCTACTTTTAACATTTAGTGTGGAATTGTGGTCATCTGCTTTGTTTAGGAGCCAATGTTGACTGTGGCCAATGCCTGGACACCCCCCTCCATGCTGCAGTGAGGCAGTCCAGGGTGGAAGTCGTCCACCTTCTGATAGACTATGGGGCTAACCTGAAGTGCAGAAACGCTCAGGGCAAAAGTGCACTTGACCTGGCGGCCCGGAAAAGTAGCATGGAGCAGGCGCTCCTGCTCCGAGAAGGTAAGGAAGGCCTGGGTGCCCATTCTTCTTCCATAGGCATGTCTGCTCTCTGTCCTTTCTGTCTCGTCGATAGACTTTCTGATCTTTTTCTTTTTCTCTTTTTAATTGAAACTGGCAGGTAGGAGGTGGCAAGTCGTAGCATCACTGAGACGGGATTTTATATGCTGTATATAATCACTTATAACCCATGAACACGTACATACAACTGCTATGTTGCTTTGTATTTTCCATGACAAGAAAATAATCAGAGAAGTTTGTTTTCACCGTGAAAGGTTGAACTGCCACATCTATCTTGGCATAAGCACACAATTGAGCAGACCAAAAGTCTGCTTTGTAATGTCTGAGGCAATTCGGTGGAAATTAGAAATACTTGAGTTAGAGACGATAAGGTGGACTTCGAGTGTGTATTTCAGAAAGTAGACTAAATGGTCAAGTCGTTTGCCTGTTCTCCAAAAGAGGGAGTAGACAGGTCGGCATCCCTCGTCGCCTGGCTCCCATTTCCACCACGAGCTAATACAACTACAGATGCCAGAGGAGGAAAGGCAGGCCTCTAAAATGCTCCGGATGTCAAATTCAAAGGCAAACCATGCTACGACTGTACAGAAAGAGAATATTATCAGAACCTATTTTGATTATTTGTATGTGCAGGAGAATATTAATGATCGTAGTAATTATTCGTCTTTACACGGGTCAGGCGCTGAGCTAAATTCGAAACATAGATTAATCTCCTGGAATTCTTAAAACTTTAAAGCAGCAAGAACTTCACAGTAACTGGTGCTGTTCCAGCCAGCTGCAAATGGGAAAGAGAAGCATAAAGAGATTGGCTTGCAGAAAGTCCCACGGCTACTGAGAAGCAGAACCAGAGTTCTAACCAAGCAGTCTGGCCCCAGAACGTGCACTCTTAAGGTTATGATGGCCCAATCCCGAATCTTCTAGTTGGGAAGGGTTTTTTTTTTTTTTTTTTTTTTCACTCACCAGTTCCATTTTGTGAAACCATTCCCACATCTTAAATACTTTCCAAGTGGAATGCTCGTTTCAGTAGTTTTAGAAATACTCTCTAGGTCACTACTTCTTCAGCTTTAATGAGTATGGACATACCAGAAGATCTCATTAAAATGCAGATTCTGATTCAGCAGGTGTGGGGGGTGGGGCTAGACTCTGCATGTCCACCAGGTTCCCGGGCGTGCTAATGCTGCTGGTCTGAGGCCACACTTTGAGTCCCACTGGTCTAGATTATTTCCAATAGTCCATGTCATTCATGATCGTTCTTTTATTTGAATCTCTACTTCAAGACTTAGATTCTTCCTTACCACTCCCATTTAGAAACACCAGGTACTTTCCAACTATTAGCCGAGAGTATGATTTACAGCAGTTGTCACCTTTCCTCTTTTCTTCCATCAGAAATGTTTTCAGATCCAAGATTTGTATTTTTTTCTCTCTTTTTAAATAAAAATTATTGGGGTGACATTGATTAATAAAATCAAATAAGTTTTAAGTATACAGTTCAACAGTACATCATACATATATCGTATTGAATGTTCACCTCCCAAAGTTAGATTTCCTTCTATCATCTAATATTTGACCCCATTTATCCCTATGTATCTCCCTCCTCCCCCACTTCCCCGTGGTAACCAGTAATCCACTGTCCATGTCTGTGAGTCTCTGTATGTTTGTCATGTTCATTTGTTGCTTTCAGTTTTATATCCCACATATGAGTGAAATCGTATGCTTTTCAACTTGTTTTTTATAAGCAACTTCCTTTGTCCTCTATCTTCATAAATATAGCCACTTGCTCTAGAAGGATGAATGCCAGCGACTTCAGAGTTCACTCTGGTGTCTGAACTTGTCCAGGCAAACTGGACAGTTGGTCTGCATTCTTGTTCTCCAGAGGAGCTTTAGTTGGGTAACAGTAGAGATACTTTTCATTCCTGCATCCTCAGATTTTAACTAAAGGCAGTTGTTTGTTCCTCCAGGTAGATTTCTATCACATGGATGCCCCTTGGCCATATCAATGCAAATGTTATCTGGCTCTTTCCAGATGCAGTCCACCATTTCTCAAGGGGTACAAGATGCTGGTACAGTAGGATTTTCTCAAAAAGGAAAACTTTGTATAATCCAATAATTATATAAATCTACTTGAAGAGATATGTACTGATAGATCTCTGATAGATCAGGTTAAGAAATAGTAGGACCTTATAAATGCCCCTGTATAACTAGTATTCCAGCCCAAAGCTCATTTATCCTACTCAATCATATTTTAGACTCTCGTTAGTTTACTTTCCTGCAGGACTTAAAGCCACTCAAAGCCATGGACATGATGACTTCAGGAGACTCCATGAGATGGAGGCTCAGGGTATAATGGTATCTAAGTGAACTGGGGCCTTTCTCCAGATTCTCTGTTGAGATGGGATCCTTGAGAGAATGGAGGGCCCTCCGAGTGTGAGTTGGGACCCAGCCAGCACTGCTTCCTGGGCAGCTAGAGCCAGGCAGGCCAGGAAGACCCTGAGGCCTGAGGGCCAGGCCCCTGGCACATTTCCTGACATGACCTCTGTGACCACATAGGCCGGCTACCTGCTGACACTCTCTTAGCAATTGTCCCTTGCTCTGCAACTCTGTCTTGAGGTCCTGAATGTTCAGTGCTTCCATTTGCTTTTTCTCCTCAGTCAGTATATCAATTCCATTGGTACATGTGGTACATTAATGAAGTGTATTCCCTTTAGACCCCATACTTCATTCCTAACTTGCCCCTTGTTCGCCTCATTCTTCAGTTTCAATACTACAATACCATTGGAGGCTCCACTTAAATAAACATGTGCCCATCCAAGGGACAAACTGGGATCCCTGTATTTATTGAGTATCTGCTACCTCACTCTCTAATTCCTACACAGATCTAGCTTCTCTTAAGCTTTTAGAAAGTTTCAGCCTCTCCTTTACCCCACCCCCGCCCCACTATTATGAGGTTCACACCATTTTCATTCCTTCCTCAGGCCCACCTGCTCTTTCCCAGCTCTGCCGCCTGTGTGTCCGGAAGTGCTTGGGTCGAGCATGTCATCAAACTATCCACAAGCTGCATCTGCCGGAGCCACTGCAAAGATTCCTCCTCTACCGGTAGTCCCAGGGGTCCATGGGAAGGTCTTGGAGATAATCGGGTTGTTGCCTGCTGTACCCAGGGTACCTAGTGTAGACACTCAACAGCTAGACTTGCACTACCTTCGAATGAGTTAAGCCAGTTAGAGTCAATTCCTAATGAATCGGAACTCTTGGGGAATTGGAAACTCCTGGTTTGTTTAATGTTCTCATTAAGCAAAAACCTTTTGGTTTTTAGCTCTTATTGTTAAGAAACTTTAAAAGACTGTTAGTAGAGTGAAAATAAGTTATTTTTGAAGACATAATCTTCAGTTATCTAAGGGTCAACATTCTGAATATTGTGCAGACACATGTAAATGAATAAGATTATGATAAATGTAAGTATTCCAAGATGTGTTCCTGATTTAGTTCCTCCCTCCTCCCCCTTTCTTTCCTTCTATGAATAAATCTCTGCTGTAATTTTGATTTCCTTGCCTTTTTCTATATATATATAAATTTTAAATGCTTTAAAAACATCAGAGTTGAGACATCCAGTTACTGAGGACCTGGTTGATAAGAGAGATGTAGGAAGAGATTAGCTTACCTGGAGGTTGGGGTCTATTGCTCATCCCTTTTGATATTAGATGCTGTTCTTTGAAGTAGATTGAGCAACACTGCATACTCCCACTATCTGAACCCATAGGCACCGTGTGATGCATGTTGCAATGCAAGCATCTACCAGCTTATTTTCAAAGTCAAGAGTCCCAGGGATTTTGAAATAATTACATGTTGACGCCAGTCCCCAAGATGGGCTCAATGCTGGGTCAATATTATTTCTATGAGTAGGGGCCCAAAATAATCACAAAGGTATACTCTAATAAACAGCCTTCCTCTCCTTTTTTCTCTTCTCCTACTTCTCCTTTTATTTCTTCCCAACCCCCTCTCCTTCTGCCCCCCTCCCCCTCCTCCTCCTTTTTGTAAATTTAGAATATGAAAATTAGATAGACTTTTAATTATCGTAAGTACTCCTGTCATGGTTCAGTGACTATAGTAACATAAGCTTCTAAAAAGAAAATTTTCTCTCAGATTATCTCCTGATTTGTTACAAACATGTATTTTTTCCCCAGTTTTCCAAACCTTTGATTCTCAACTGGGGACAATTTTGCCCTACCACCACTAACTTCAGGCACATTTGGCAAAGTCTGGAGACTTCTTTGGTTGCAACAACAGGGAGGAGGGATGCTACTGACATCTAGTGGATGGAGGTCAGAGGTGCAGCTGATCATCCGACAAGGCACAAGACAGTTCCCCACAGTAAAAAATGATCACTTCCAAAATGTCAACAGTGCTGAGGTTGAGAAACACTGCTCTAAACCTATGTTATTCAATAAAGAAGCCACTAGCCACATGTAGCTATTGAGCAGTCGAAATGTGGCTAGGTTGAATTGAGATGTGCTGTAAGTATAAAATACGCACTATATTTTGAAGGTTCGGTACAAAAACAATGTGAATTATTTCATTAATGATTTTGAGGTTGATTACACAATGAAGCAATACTATTTTGAATATATTAGGTTAAATTAAATTTATTAGAATTATTGCTACTTTTTTTCCTTTTAAATGTGACTACAATACAATTTTAAATTGCATATGGCTCTAGCATGATATTTCTTAGTGTTCTAGACCTTTTTCTCATTTTCACAACTTTGGAATATGAAATAAGTTCATCTTAATTAGTTAACTATTTGAGGAAAAGATTAAGTTCTATTTGATATCATATTTCAAAAACAAATCTCATTTTTTTAAATGTTAAAAAAGTTTTAAAAGATGCTATAAATACTAGAATAAAATGTTCACTGAATATACACGAAGGGAAGGTCTTTTCTAAGCATAACATCAAAGTCAGTCACTTTAAAGGAAAATACTGATAAATTAAAATACATATCATAGAACATTCAGGAATTCAAGGCTTTCTGTCTTCAAAGTGTTCCCCTGAGGGTATTTTTTGGTCAGCCTACATCTTGCTGAACATCTGAGCTCTGTGTTAAATCCCAGGATATTCTCTGATAGTCTGCAGTGTGGCCCCAAGGAGCTTGAAAATCCTGCTGTTCCATCCACTTCTTGAAACTGCAGGTCATGGATTTAGCGAATCCCTCGTATGGACCCCCCAACTCTGGTAGGAGTGTGTGTGTGGGTGTATGTGTGTGGGGGGGTGGCACTCTAATCTTGAACTGAGTCCCAAGAGACCACTCATGAGAACCAATCCTTCTGATTCCAGAAGGATGTGAATGCAGAGCAAGTAGTGATCCCTGCATCTCGGAGTTGCTGCAATGTTTTTCGATTTATGAATATAGGTATTAGAGAGATGATAGTCTTTAACTTCCCCTTGAGTCCTACATCCCATCAAGCTAGAATCTGACCATCAGATGAATCATCTGGTTTATATGAGGTTATATTGCTTGCTTTTAGGAGGTTCTTAACACTAACATAGATTATTTCATTTTTCACAGGATGTGGGATGTTTGATTCCCCAAATGGTATACTTTAAAAAAAAAGAAAAACTTCAATCATATCTGAGGTGCTCTAGGATAACTTATCAATTAATTGAGGCTTAAATCTTCAAGAGACACAGACAAGTATATTGGGGTAAAATAAAAGCAGATTGGGGCGAGAGCTACTATTTTACATAAGGTGATTAAGCAAGGTCCCTGGCAGGGTAACTGCATTTTTAAAAAAAAATTATTCATGTATGTATTAATATTTATTAGTTAATTTTACTGTTAAGGTTTGAGTGAATTTTTTCAGTACTTTATGGTTTTGTTTGGTTTGTTTTTGGTTTCTTTGCCTGATTTAATATAGTGATCCTATTATGAAAGTATTTCTGATCCCTGCTTTTCTCACAAATCATATTACAATGATGTTCTAAGTTTCCAACCCTTTGAAACTATCCTTTTAAATGGTTGTATTATATCCATCAGCTATTTCCGTGTTGCTGGATTCCTAGATTATTTCTAATTTCTTGCTATTATAAATAAACTAGCACGAACTTAATATTTTATAAATCTTTTTAAATGTTTGAAGTATATCTTAGAAGACATTTGAAGTGACATTTACTGGTTAAAATTATTTAAAATAATAGTTTAAAATAATTTAAAATATATACACAATGAATCAAAGGAAAAAATATTTTAATAACCAAATCACCAATATTACCTATCCATATACCATGTCTATATATATATATATATCGACATCTAATATATCTGTATACCATGTGTCTACCTAGCATCTATCTATCCATCCATTATTTATCTGACTGTATTCATCATCTGCCTTGACCCATTATTTTTTTAAAAAATGCTTGTCTGTGTCTCTTGAAGATTTAAGCCTCAATTCTTTCAAAACCCCTTAAATTATTTAAAAGGTCAGGTATGCCATTCAACATCTCTAAGTTTTTAGTTAATATTTTATTAAGGAACTGTTTCTCCCAAAGTAATTTTTCTCCCTGATATTTCTAATATTGCCATGTCGAATGAACCTCCGGTTTACAGGTGATTCTTTATTCAGTGGCAATGCTCGTTGCTCAGAAGATTTTATGCATTTAACACAAAGAGAACAGCTGACGCTTCAGAGACATGGCCTGAAGTGGTCATGGTGAGGGAAGAATCGTTGAATAATCACAAGCTGTCAAGGGAGGGTGCTTTCTGTACTGAAGAGCCTCACGTTTTCTCCCGTAGCAAATCATCACCAGAGGCTGCCCCATATGGGTGTTTGCATACAAAATATATTATCTCCTTCCTTTAGCAGAGTGTATACCAGGAAAAATACACGATCACATTCAGAATAGCGGCTTCACATTTTAACATGAGTTCAACCTGTAAAAAATGTATACCAGGTATTAATCTTCATTTACTAATTTTTCTTCCTCCGCCATTATTATATCTTGAAAATTTTCCAGCTTCTAGAAAAAAATTGCAAGAATGATACAATGAATATTTGTACATCCATCATCTCAGATCACCAGTTGTTATAAATTTGCCACATTTGCCTGTTTATGTGTGTATGCACATGTTTGTATGCATATGTATGTGTGTGCCTGCGTACACAGACCTATATTGTATGTATATATGTAAGCCCATGTGTAATTAATATATATACAAATATTTTCTAAATGAATCATTTGTGAATAAACCGTGGACATCTTGATTCTTCACCACGGCTAGAATTAAGATGAGGTGGGTGAGGCAGAAAAAAAAGTGTAAGGGGGCAACCGAAAAACTCAATCATCAAGATAAATATTTTATTACAATATTTTAAAAATTCAATGTTTAAGGAAAAAGCCCATGATGACTAAAACATCAATGATTTTAAAGACAGGCCGTTGTTTGTTTTTACAATCTTGCACAATTGTGCAGTGGGAACAGTGTTTGCCATCAGTCTGAGGTTCTGGGACATGTGGCCTTTGGGTTTTTGAGGAACAACTATGGCTTGTGAATAGATTAGGCAACTCAGGCTTTATATATACTCGTGTTTGGACTATAGAGCTTGCATTAACTTTTTCTCTTCAGTGAAAAATGTGTCTATCTAGCATCTATCGATCCATTATGCATATAATGTGTACATAAGGATGCACATTTATCTCTTTGTGTCATGCTGCCATATGGCTCTGCACTAAGCACGTTAGTGCGCATCTTCCAAAAACACAGAGATTCTTCTACATAACAGCACAGTGATCACATGTAGGAAGTTTGACATTGATGAGCTGTAATTATCTGATATACATCCATATTTAAGTTTCCACGACTGTGGCACTGGCGTCTTTTATATTTTGTCCCTTCTCCCCCAGTCAGGATCCAATTAAGGATTACGCATCACATTTAGTTATCAAACCTCTTTATTCCCCTTTAATCTAGAAAGACTCCCCCCGCCTTTTGTCCTTCATGCCACTGGCATTTCTGAAGAGTCCAGCCCCGTCCTTATGTAGACTGTCTTTCCATTTTGATTTGCCTGATTGTTTCCTCAAGAATACTGCATTATGCCAGATTTTTAAAAACATATCCTTGTTTGAATATTATTGTACTCCTAGATGGAGTGGGAATGAGTGACTGCTTTCTAAAGTTGCAGCATCAGATAGTTCAGTGTACAGAGCTAGTTACACAGAAACCACTGAAACAGATAGGATTTTTACAGGAATAGCAGATCATTCCAAATTATCGGAGTAGATTTGTTCCTTTTAGTTTTTAAAGGTTTCGTGCTAGAAAAAAGTGCTGGCTGGAATGAGAGTTGGTTTCGGCTCCTGGGCCAACTTAGACTGATTGGAGGTGACTTTCAAGGCTCCCCACAGCCTCAGGAGGAAATAATCCATGAGTGGCGTCAGCTAGGTGAGGGGTGGAGGCCGAGGCTATGGCTGTTGATAAGGAGTGACTGTGGCCTTACCGTCCCGTGGGCCATAATTCTTCCCTGGGCCAAGTTTCCTGAGCATCTACACAAGGACTGACTAGAAGTTGTTAAGATCGTTCTCTTGTGGCTCATTGTAAGTGAAGCTACTCTGTAATCACAGCTCATATACATGTGACTCACCTTTATCCTCATACAGACCCTTAAAAATACATGAGCTTCTCTTTTAATGGTTTTCTAATTCCTGACTAGAACTGTTGTTAATCGGTTTTAAATAAATCAGTTTCCATCCTCCAATATTCACAAGTGTTGATCAACATTATAAATATAACAAGAATATTAAAAGCTGATTAATTTCCTCCCAAGTACTAAGGCAACAGCCTAGAAATCTTCTTTATTGTCACTTTGGACAATAAACTTATATTTGGATATGGAAAACGCTGATCTTCTTGGAATTTAATTAAAGGTAAATAAAGAAGATGTACTATGAAGATTTTACTCAGAAAGAATGATGATGGTATCCAGCATTCCCATCGTGCCCCTCTGTTAACTCCTCCTCATCCGGTCTAGTTGGAAGTAAATTTCTCCTTCTCTGCCAAATACATGTTTTAATGTTCTTCAAATTTCCTGATAGAGTAGTGAACAATGTATATGCTTACGGCCTTCTCAGTTAATTCTGCAAATAGGGAGGGCAACTCACCAATGTTTATCTCAGTTTTAAGTGAACAATCCCTTTTTCAAATAGAAATTAGTCAAGATGATTGTAGATTCACATGCAATTGTAAGAAACAATACACCTTCTCCCCTGATGGTGTTCAGGTGCTTCGTGGAGGCTGGCTGAGTGGCCTACGTCTCCTCTGGGCCTCCAACAGGGGAGCTGGTTGGGATTGTAGATGTTATTGATCAGAACAGGGCTTTGGTTGATGGACCTTGCTCTCAAGTAAGGAGACAGGCTATGCCTTTCAAATGCATGCAGCTCACTGACTTCATCCCCAAGTTCCCACACGGTGCCCGTCAGAAGTATGTCCGACAAGCCTGGCAGAAGGCAGATAACAATACAGAGTGAGCAGCCACAAGACGGGCCAAGAAGATCGAAGCCAAAGAAAAGATAGGCAAGATGACAGATTTGGAGTTACAAAGTCATGAAGGCAAAGAAAATGAGGAACTGAAAAATCAAGCTTAACGTTGGGAAATTTCAAAAGGCAGTTTCTCCTTAAAGCTTCTCCCCCAAAAAAGCACTTGCTGCTAAAGTTGCAGCTACAAGTTCTGGCAAAAGATGACTACTGCAGGCAAGAAGGCTCCAGCCCAGAAGGTTCCCGCACAGAAAGTTGCAGCCCAGAAGGTAGCACCTGCAAAAGCTCAGAAGAGTCTGAAAACTCCAGACCCAAAAGCACCTGCTCCACAGGCATCTGGCAGGAAAGCGTAAGAACATCAGAGGCTGTTCTAAAAGTAATAAAGTTTTTTTTTTTTAATAGGATGGCGAATCTAGAAACAAAAACGAAAAAAGAAAAAGAATAATACAGTGATCTCCTATATTTTTACCCAGTTTCCCCTAATGATAACTTCTTGCAAAACTGTAGTATAACATCAGAACCAGGAAATTGGCATTGATGCAATGTACTAATCGCATTCCACAGTTTTCATTTTGACTTTTTACTCACTCCTGTGTTTGTCTTTAGTTCTAGAGAAATTATGACATGTGTATGAGCACACCTTTGACCCAGCATGCCCACTCTTAAGAATCTCTGCTCTAGAAATATTTTATAGGTGCACCAAGCCATATGTACAAAAATGTGGAGTGCGCTATTTTTGTAGTCATAAAAAAAGGGGAATATTCTGTCTCCATCATGGGGAAATTATGAATTGCAGTAGTGACTAAAGAAAGGGACATAGCTACATACGCTTGAAATGGAAAGACCTCCCCCACCAAAACAAACAAGTATACAAAGCGTAGAACAATATAATTACAATTATGTGAAAAAATGTAAGGGGATAAATGTGTGCGTATATATGTATACGCACATATAGAAATGCATTATAAATTACGAAGGATTCTCCTCAAACTGTTGACAATGGCTACCATGTCTTTCAACTGAGGATCCATACATCTGAAACAGGGAGGCTACATCTTAGGCATTAAAAAAAAAAAACTGCTGTTTCAGGATCCATACATCTGAAACAGTGAGGCTACATCTTAGGCATTAAAAAAAAAAAAAAAAAATCTGCTGTTTCACAGCCAGACTGCATTTGAATCTTACTCAGAGCCTTCCTGAATGGGGAAGTCGCCTTTCACCTGGAAGAGAGGTGTCACTGGAGTCTAGGGGTGGCTGTCAGCCTGAGCAAGCACCCGAGAGTACGGGAAAACGGTGTACCTGCAGAGACACATGTACAAAAACCCAAATAATTTGTAAGGCAAAACCTTCACAAAGTAAAACTTTTTATAATTAACAATGAAAGATGGCAGGTCTCTTCCATGCCCCCATGCCGGCGAGTAATCCATTTTTCCAATAGCTACCATTAATTATTTACTTAGAAGTTAAAATATAATCTGTGGAGGAAGGGTAAAGCAGAGCCTTTAATGAAATCCTTGAAGTTGGAAGGAAGAAAATAAAAGTGCTTTCCAAATTTGCATGTTTGTAACATATAGACACATTTTCCTATAAGAAACTCCCATAAAAATTGAAACCACATGTGCAGGAAGGCCAGGGTGTGCTGGGCATGTTGCTGTGCAAGCAATCAGCAGGGCTGCAGCTCCACCAGCGTTCTGTGCTCTTGGGTTCTCAGGCTTTTCT